GAAGCAGCAGAGCAGACGAGCAGGTCCGCCGCCCGTGGCACACCTCGCGCTCCGGAGCAGCACCCGCCACGCCCGGCTGGTTCCTGTGCCCAACATACGCCTGCCGCCGCCGCGCCCGGCTGTCGATCTGCGCCCCGCGCGCGCACATCCGGAGCTAAGAGCCGCCGCGCGCACATACGCCGTCCACGCCCAGGCCATCGGGAGCCCGGACTGAGGCCGCCGCCCCGACGCCCCACCCTCAGCCGCCCGACGCGGCCAGCTCGAGCCCGATCGACCGCAGCCGCGCCAGATCCGCGCGCCGGCCCGCATCTGGCCTCGCCGCACGCCAAGGTCGCCTCGCACTGTCCGGTGCAGTAGAGCACCGCCGCCGCCCCTCGGAGCCACCCCAAGCCGCCGCCGGCCCGATGAGCCACCACAAGGCCGGCCGTCCCGCGCCGCCCGGATGCCTCGTGGGGAGGGAAGAATCCCGCCACCGCCGACGCACGCACGGGCTTCGCTCGCGGGAGCTGCACGGGGTGTGGCGAGGGAGGGGAGAGGCGAGGTGTGGGGTGGCGGCGGCAGGGGGCTAGGGTTACGCCCGAGCCGCTCGCGGGAGCTGCACGGGGTCCAGCTTTGTGTATTCTTTGCCACCTATTTGTATGGGTTTGAGGGCTCACATACGAGGGACGCAGGTACGAAAGCCACCAAATGAGGCATATGCCCGATCAGTGCTCGCCGACGGGCGTTTGAGGGATTGAATTTACAACCTGAGGCTGTAGATGCTCTTATAAGCGTATTTAGGCGAATGAACATACACCTGCAAGATGGGACCGGATATGTTCGCATTTCTCCCTTTGTTTAGTCCTAGCAACAACCTTACAAGGACGCATCCATGTCAAGATTTGTTCCTAATTTAATTAGCTCCACCTAATCAAGCACCCAACCCTTACAGATCCTACGTATACCACCAGAGACGTTGGCACCAGAAGGTGTCGTACTTTATCAATAAAGGAAAGAAAATCAAATACGATGCATACTTTTCTAGCGAAACACTTTTAGTCTTGATACAACAATCACCATCCATCTACTGTAGTCGTTAGTAGCAGACCAGCAGTACTGCAACATCAAACGACTGCATCGAACAAAGGAAACGTCGAACGGGATTGCCAGTCTCCACAAGGGGCGTTTCTCTAAGAGCGTCGATGCTTGATTCAACTCTGAACCAAAAACGGCCGAACTAAACCTGAAAATGACCTTCAATTCAGAAAAGTACTACGTAGATGCAAAAAATCTAGTTAAGGAGAATACTACAATCCAACCGAACCGGCTCTGACAGACATGGATGGCACCGTTAACCACTCTCTCCGTCTCATAATATAAGAATGTTTTTGATACTGTATGAATATGTCCATTCGATAATATAAGAGTGTTTTTGATACTGCACGAATACGTCCATTCGATAATATAAGAGCGTTTGACACTCGTGTGGTGCCAAAAACGCTTTTATATTATAGAGCGGAGGGAGGCAGGGAGCAGCGCAGTGATCAGCCTTGGGACCCTGGTCCAGAACAGAACAACGAGTCAGCGCTGAAGACTTTGGAGCAGGGAGGCCGGGAGGAGTGTCGGTGGCGCATGCAAATAAGCAACGGCAGTGCATGGGAAGGCCCTGCGCGAAAAGAATGGAGCCCGTAGAAGCGCCGGATGCCTGGATCAGGTGGAGGCCATGGCCATGGGAGCGAACCCAACCAACCAACCAGCGCGCGCAACAACTCGCCGAAGTAATATATATCCACACCAATGGGGAATTTTCGCCATGTTTATTGCGGGGAAAGTGGCGCGCCACCGAACCCTCTAAAAGCTAGCCCAGCCATGCGCCTCTCGCTTTCCTCCTCCTCCCTCCTCCTCCTTATCCACACGGCCTAACCAACCAAGAAATTGCAGGACTGGCAGTAGGATTGTTTCGGAAGCGAGGCCACGCCGCACGAAGAGACGGCGAGAAGACGACGATGGATCACATCTCGTCGCCAAGGGGAGAAACGCAAATGGATTCTGAATTTTTTTTACGTCCACGGATTCTAATAAGCAAGCAGCGCAGAGCGAGTACAGAAAAGGAGTGCTCGGGGCTGTAGATTTGGGCCATCGCTGCAGCATTAACCGCATCAAGGAATCGCTGCCGCAAGATTCCCGCCCAGCACTGAAGGAGATCCCGGCGCAATCAATCAGCTACCTGTCGGAGTCGGAGCTCCCTTCCACTACTGAATTTTCTACTGTACTATATACTGAATTTTCTACTGTGTATGCATCTGGCTCTAGACCAGCGACGGTGAACGATCAGGAGATTCGAGCGGAGGAACGCCACAAATCCATGCGCACGTACCTCCAAGGAGCACACCCACGGCAGGCAAGCAGGGAGAGGTCTCGGCGTATATAGACGCCGTCGGAAGACGACGTCCGCTCTCTTAGCACCGCATCTCCCACACGCGCACCGCCAGAAATGAATTATCAGAAGAAGTGGCTCATGTTCCTTTCGTATACTCGGCCTGCCATATGGAGGGGTGTGCTCCAGTTCGTATGAACGGCCTGGGTTCCCTACTGGCTGTGGCTTTCCGCGCACCACTGTCCTCCACTGCCAAACTCCCATGGAAATCAGCGCCGCAGCCACAGCAGCAGCTTCCTCCTCCTCTCCCTGGGGCTGACTGTCATTTACGTGGAACCGCGGGGAGAGACCGCCAAAACAGCCAACAGAATAATGGCGCACGCCGCCGCACCGACTAAAAATGGACGATGAAACATGTACTCTCTCCGTCCGGCATTATTTGTCGTGAAAATGGATGTATCTAAAACTAAAATACGTTTAAATACATTCATTTTCTTGATAAATATTTCCGGACAGAGGGAGTAGTACGTAGTGCCATTCCTTAGGTTTCAGAACGTGGTGCACATTAGGTTTTCTGAAAAAGGAAGCCTGTTTATGCTTGGACAAGTTTATATGAAAAACACATCAGCATCCACAACACATGCATGTTTAGCATCACCGGATTTCACCATGAAAGTGCATTTTTATGTTTTACTTATTTAGCATTTTAGATGTCCATAGTTTTATTCTATGAACTTTGTCAGACATAGTCATGCTTGACTTTTGGAAAACAAACACAGGCGGTGCATTCTGGAACGACCGGAGTATTATTTATGAATGAAACGGGACGGGAATAGATTGAACTGCTTGCTGTTAAATTTGTTTTTGTATTATCATTTTCGTGGAAGCGGGCACATGCACAAAAACTTCAAAAGCAAACAGTGCTACCAGGAACAAACACGGTATGGATACAATGTGAATGCGGATTCATCGGGACTACAACGTCTTTCGACGATTTTCAAGGCCCGTGACCAGCCTCTTAAACGAGCTACACTGACGTGGGGATGTTTGGCCACTACAACGAGGATGGGGTGGGGCGGCCTTGTGGGCGGTGGCGTGTGGACTGGATGATTGTGTATGGCACGTTATTGTCGTGTCAAAGGACGACGTGCTCGTGTGCCTGGCTGTTCGATTAGGAACGGTGACGCATGAAAGGGGATCAGATAATTATTATTGTTCTGGTTGTTGGGCCATACCATGGGCTGCATTGCATGCTCGACTATGCCATGCAGGAACAATGATAAACACCGAAAGCTTCGTATTAACGAAGCAGAAATGTCGTTTTCGTGGTTGCCCCGTTGAAAAGGGTCATTTGCTTCTTCTTTTTTTGCTTGTGTTACGCGATGTATTGCTTCTGTATCCCCTCTGCGAATAAGGTCATATAACTTTGCAAGAAGGCCACCGCCATCATAGCAAATTCTTTCTCGATTAGTACCATCCGCAATGGTGCGCCGCTTTGTGCCTCCCCCGCCACGCCAACGCCAACGCTCACCTCCACATGGCTTTCTCGTTTTTCTTGTTTCGTCTCTCTTTCTGTTGTTCCGCCCCTACTTTGATCGATGCCATGGGTGGCGTGAGCAGCACCCACACCTTGACCAACCTATCTTTCAAGTCCCGAAAAAACTATTAGTCGACACTGTAAATGTCGTTGTTGCTGCTGTGTTGCAACCTCATTGCCTTTGCCTCCTCTTATCGTTGCTAACCCCGGTCATCGTCATCGTCATCCATCCCCACCAATCCGATCCGCCTCCCCTCTTCTCCTTCACCCGTGCTTATATCACACCCGGAGCCCATCATCTACACATCCATGCGTTAGGTTATTCATTTTGCGAAAAATATATAAACATTTATAAACACCATGACTGCTCAAAGTTGAATGAATTGGAAAAAAAAACTCACTTTTGCACCACCTAATACTACTAAAGAGAACATAAACATAAACTAATCACCAAAGCAATTTCAATGAGTTGAGTCCAGCAGGGGGCAAATGATGATCGACCAAACGCCAACTATCACAAAATCCCTCTCATTCACACACGTGGCCACCCGCACCTACTGCGTACTACTACTACTACTAATCAAACACGTCCCTGGAGCAAATCGCCAGCCACCCCCTGCGGTGTCTGATATTCACGCTCAGGTCCCTGGCCAGCGCCCACCACCAAACCCGGAACCACCGGGCGGAAATGTCACGTTTTTATATAAAAGCCCCTGTCTCCGTCTCCGGTTAGCAGGAGAGAGAGAGGGAGAGGACGGGTGGAGGCCAAGAACGCAGCACGATTGCACAGCACCAGCTGCCGACCGACCGCGGGCGGAGCTGACCCCCCGACCCGATCAGATCCCTCGCCGCTCGCCCCCTCAGATCTCCCCGCGCGCGCCCCTCCCAGATCCAGCTCCGAGCGCTTGGATTTCTGAAGAGGTTGGTGGTGCTGCCGCCCGGTTGCTTTGACCGGCCGGCGGGAAGCCCGTCCCTTGCCGCGGCTGCTCGATCGGAATGTGATCTTCTTCCTGTTGCGCAGGTCCTGCCGGCGGCGTGGTTCGGTGGGAAGCTCGTCGGCTGCTGCTTCTTGCTTCCCGCGCTCTGTAGCCAAGGCGGCCGGCGGAGATGGGGCTGGCGGGGGAGAAGTTCCAGCTGGGGACGGTGGGGGCGCTCAGCCTCTCCGTCGTCTCCTCGGTCTCCATTGTCATCTGCAACAAGGCGCTCATGAGCGCCCTCGGCTTCATCTTCGGTATGAGATCCAATCTCGCCTCTCGCTCTCCAGATGTGCCCCGCTCCTTGTCCTCGCTGGCGCTTCGCCTCCCTGGATGCCTGCGCTCCATGCTTCGCCCGCGTAGTGCTCGTAGACGTGCGATGTCCAGATTCGGTTAGGGTCGTGGGCAGTGGCCAGTGGCCAGTGGAAATCTTGGGCCTGTGAGAATTTTGTCTACTGCGAACTGCAAAATCAGTTACCTTTTTTTGTCTCGATGAGGGGAATCGCCGTCGGTGGAGTTCCTCGAGCATCCGTGGGTTGGCACATCATGACTAGAACAAAATAAATTTGTCCTGTGCTCAACTTGAATGAATTACAGCTACTGATGCTTAGGGTGACTTGCTGGAATGAATATGTCTAGGAGAAGGGAGCTAGAGTGAGCTTACATCCTGCCAAACAATATGTTGAGAAGAAAAGAGTAGTGGTTCATCTAAACATATTAGTAAAACAAAAAGCAGGTAGGTTACCCCGAAGTTTTACTCAACCTTGTTCTTTATTGTGCAGCCACCACGTTGACAAGCTGGCATCTCCTGGTGACATTCTGTTCGCTTCATGTGGCATTATGCATGAAGCTCTTTGAGCACAAACCTTTTGACGCAAGGACCGTCATGGGGTTCGGAGTGCTCAACGGCATCTCGATTGGGCTTCTCAATCTGAGTCTGGGTTTCAACTCTGTTGGTTTCTATCAGGTAAGCGTTGTTCCTTGCTTCCACTGTGCCAGAACTTTTCAAGATTTCATAGTCGATTCAGTTCCTTATCTAGAATGGCAATAGTTGCTTTGGATGGGACGTTGGGTGTGCATAAAATTAGTGTGACTTTAACGCATGCAGTAGTGTCCCTACTATATTCGCATGGCAAACGACATCTTAGGAGAAGGGTTTCAGTTAAGTTATTACATGTCGCGTGAGTGCGTTGTCCGACCTTACACTGCAACAAGCTCATGCTAAAAATGCTCTTTATTTCCAGATGACAAAGCTGGCCATTATTCCCTGCACTGTTATATTGGAGACTCTTTTCTTCAGGAAGAAGTTCAGGTTGCTATTTTGATACACCATGTCCACTGTTATATTGGAGTACTAATTATCATCTGACTGATTTTCTATCTTTACTGTGCAGTCGTTACATCCAGCTGTCCCTTAGTGTGCTCCTTTTTGGTGTTGGAGTTGCAACTGTGACTGATCTGCAGCTCAATGCTATGGGATCTGTGCTGTCTCTACTGGCCATCGTCACAACCTGTATTGCTCAAATTGTATCCTTTCGACAATAGTTGTTTTCTTCTACCGTAAAACTTTCTGTGCTTGCCAAATCATCTGCATATATTAAATGTTGCATGTAACTAGCTGCACATCATGTAGTTTGTCAGTATTAGCTAATGAAATAATGAATAGAAGTGACTCCCTACAGCTACTTTGTTTTCTTGACAGCCACTTTGTTTCTACTTTCCTTCTGAACTTACAATAGGTACTGTAGATTTTCTATCCTACTCGGAATATACCTCTTGGTTACAATGCTGAAAAAACTTCACGATTGAGTATTATGTTTGCTTTATGGTGTGCGATTTGAGTCCTTAACCAGCCATCAGATGACCAATACAATTCAAAAGAAGTTCAAAGTATCTTCAACTCAGCTGCTGTACCAATCATGCCCATACCAAGCATTGACCCTGTTCATTGTTGGTCCATTCCTCGATGGATTTCTGACTAACAAAAATGTCTTTGCTTTTGCATACACACCTCAAGTTCTGGTAAGTATTGAACTAGGCTGTGAAAGCTTACCTTGATTTTTGACACGGCTTCATGTGATTCATAGTTTGTTCTTATCATTTCTGCAGTTCTTCATCGTGCTGTCGTGTCTGATATCAGTCTCGGTGAACTTCAGCACTTTCCTTGTGATTGGGAAGACATCTCCCGTAACTTACCAAGTCCTTGGCCATCTAAAGACATGCTTGGTTCTTGCCTTCGGCTATGTCTTGCTGCACGATCCGTTTAGCTGGAGAAATATACTTGGAATCCTGATTGCAGTGGTTGGGATGGGACTATATTCATACTTCTGCACCCGTGAAGCTCCAAAGCCCACTGAAGCCTCTCCACAAGTCACTCAGGTACATTCCCTGGGTATTTTCATTGTGCTTTGAGCTCTTGCTATTTTCTGTATTTTGGAATCCTGATCTGCTGAGCGACGTGATTAAGGAGTAAGCATAATTCACCTAGCATGAGTTTCACTGGGTAGTCCACTTTATAAGCCCTATCAATTATTTTTGATGTGCTTCATATGTAGCTGGATGGTGGTTCTCAGCCCCTCTTACCTCGGTTACTGCTACAATTTTCTTGTTATTTACCTCGCATGTCATCTGCATGGCAGGTGAAGGAAGGCGAATCAGACCCTTTGATCGCAGACTCCTTGAACGCCGCCGAGAATGGAGCTGCTGCAACCACCGACGAGCCTCTGAAGGTCCCCATGTGGAGCTCCAAGTACGCGCGGGCATGAACGCTGCTGCTCCGACCTCTGAAGGTGCCCATGTGGAGCTCCAAGCGCTCGCGGGCATGAACGCCGCTTCGGACCTTGGTTCATGGTATTATATACATAATTATTCAGTTTAGTAGGCAGATAGTAGGGCTGGAAGGAAGCCAGGCCAGCCCTGAGTGTAATGAACGTTCCTTTTTCCATTTTTGGGCCTTTTTTCTTTCCCCCCCTTTTTTTGCTTCTGTTTTGGCTTACGATGCCTGTGGTGCTGTTGTAAAAGTGAATCTCACCCCAAATGACTCCAAATGGCAGATCTACCTTTGTTGAAGCTAAGATACAAAATTTCAATTGCTGGGAAGGGGATCTCTTGTAGTATTATTTTTCGCATGTTCAGCTTCGGATCCGCGGTTGTAACTTTGGTCGCAAGACATAAATATCAACACGTAGTTTACATTCTTTTTTTGTACAAGTGTTCAGTGAATGGTCTGTGGTGATCTTTTGAGCTTTCAGTTTGTGATATAAGATGCATTTCTCTCTCTCTCTTGGGTCCCATATGCCAGTTGCTGAAGACAAGACTTCTTTAGGCTAGTCATTGTTGAAGAAATGTTTTTTTTTTGAACAACAAAAGGCGCACGAAGCGCCAAACTTTCCATTCAGCTCAGCTCAATAGCATCGTACAACATGAATTACAAAGCCCTCAAACTCGAAATTAGAGTTAGAGAGGAGAGAAACTACAGGGCAAGCCATGTTCCTGTGAGCCGAAGCAAAACAACATATGTCAGGTTCTACATTTGATGTAAGAACCTGATGAGCGACGTTGTGAGCAATTCCATTAATTTCCCTGGAAATATGGAACACTCTAGGTTGAAGGTCTGAAGAGTAGCAGAAGAAATCAGCTAAAACTTTTCTGATAGTCCAAGGGGTAGCAGTTTCAGTAATCTTTCTACTAGCCGCAAATGAAGCCAAAGAGAGATAGTCTGTGAGGAAGGTCGGCTGGCTGATGTTGAGGCATTTAGCTACTTTTGCAGCCAAGAGAAGAGCAAACGCTTCAGCCTGCAGAGGAGTACTTGTAATTGAGGTGGAAGCTTGAATCTGCACGCTGACTTCCTTCTGATCGTGCGGCAAAGAAATGTAGATACCAACTCCAGTGGCTGTTGTTCCCTGCAATAAACCTGGAATTTTTTTGCACTTAAAAGATGCATCAGTATATACTTTCGGTCCCGTGATAAGAAGATCTAATTTAAGCGTTTGTCCCTGCAAGGGAAGTTGATTAATATGGGTTAAGATACAACTGGAGTTTTGAGGCTGATGGTGTGAAGAACTGTTAAGCAGATCACAGAAATCATTAGATAGAGAAGTAGCAGCAATATTAACTTGGTGAGGGGTAGCTTTCTTTCTATTAAAAAGATAATCATTCCTCGCTTTCCAAAGACACCACATAAAATTTAGAATGTTGACAACAGAAGCATGCGGATGGTTCATATTAAGTAAAGCAAGAATAATACTGTGGATATTGGTATAGATCTGAACTAAAGCATCTGTTCTGATGAACCAAGGATGAGAAAACCAAGCAGCTCTAGCGAAGTCACAAAGAAAAAACATGTGAACCTCATCCTCTTGCTGACCACATCTGCAACAATATTGAGAAATATGTACGGAAAAGCGCCCAACCCTCAAACCTGTGGGAAGAGCTTTCCGAAGGAGTCTCCAAGCGAAAGTTTGAACTCTGGGGATCATCAACTTTTGCTTCCAAATCAACTTGAGAAGATTTTTCATCTGCAAAGAAACTTGGGAAGGAGTATTTCTTGGATTGGCATGAATATCCTGCAAACACAATTTATAAGTGGACTTGGAAGAACAAGTACCATTAAGAGTTAGATCCCAACATAATATATCCGGGCAATCTTGGTGAATAATGTCAGTTTGAACGATAACAGAGGCTAGAGGCTGTTGAAAGAGAGAGTTAATGAGGTCATTGTTCCAGACTTTCTGACCCGGTATCCAAAGGTCCTTAACAAGAGAAGGATATATGTATCCTGAAGGCTGAATAATAAGATTGTCATGAACAGAAGCCCAAAGGGAACACCAAGGGGTACTTCAAAGAGAGATATTCCCTTGCGTGAGTTGGTAAAAAGAGTGATCTTTCAGTTTAGGCAACATTTTTAAAATGGATGACCAGAAAGCAAATTTTGGAGTAGTAGAAATAGCAGTCCAAATAGAGGCATCATGGAAGTATTTAGATTTGAGCACAAGATGAAGGTGGGAGGAAGGGTCTTTAGCAAGCCTCCAAGCAGCTGCAAGAAGTAAGCCCTCATTAATTGCTTGCAAGTTCCTAATGTCAAGACCACCTTCCTGTTTGGAATTGCAAATGTCCTTCCAAGCCCTAAGACAAAGGCTCTTGTTAGAATTATTCTCTCTGATTCCTGTCCACCAAAAGTTCCTTATAATAGCAGTGAGTTTGGCTATAAACTTTTTGGTAAACAAAATATTAGACATGTAGTACACAGGAATAGCAGAGAACACAAACCTAATGAGCTCAAGCCTAGCAGCATGAGAGAGCATATTAGCTTTGTAAGCAGGCAATTTATTCAGAAATTTATCAATAACAAAGTTGTAAGCAGCAGTTCTATTTTTAGCAGGAAGAATAAGCGGATGACCAAGGTGGGTGAAATTGTTATCCATGATAGAAACATGAAAAACTTGCTTAATCTCTTGAATAGTGGTTTGACTAACATGAGTACTAAAAAGAATAGCAGATTTGGCCCAATTTGGTGTTTGACCTGAAATATAACAAAAGTGATGGATGAGTTGAAGAAATGTCATGCCATCTTTTGTATCAAATTGATACGCACAAACTTTGCGAGCCAATTTTGTTCGATCATGATGCCTGACATAAAATAATAAAATTGATTATGCTTCTTATCCTGCGATAATAGATGGTGGGAAGCTTTCTTTCTCATTATCTAAAACAAAACAAATATGTTCTTTTCAAGAGAATCCAAGACAAATGTTAACTATGCTACTGACATCTTGTTTCTTTTCTCTCACAAAACCGAAACGTAAGTTTTTTTGAGGGGTAACAAAAATGTTAGTGTTTTTTTTTTGAGGGGGTAACCGAAATGTTAGTTTTTTTTAGGGGGTAACAGAAATGTTAGTAGTAAAAAGAACTTGTACATGAACCAGATGGGCCTCTGGGCCTTGTTGGCATGTTGCATTTCCTCCATTTCGCTCGCAGTCCTGATGCAGGCACATCACTTGTACCACGGCAAAATTGGGCCTGGGTCGGCCCAGTACACGCACCCAGCCCACAGAAAATGGCGGGAACGGAGGGAGAAACGGCGGGAAGCACCGCCGCCAGTGGCGCGAAACCCTGACAACTTATAACCCCTCCCGCCTCCCTCCCCGCCGCACCACCTCCCCGCCATTGCTCCTAGTCTCCCGGTCTCCCAACTCCCCAAGAAGAGCGAGCGAGATCCACCGCCGGAGAAAGGCAGAGAGGATGGTGGGCCCGCAGTACGACCTCGTCGGCAACCCCCTGGGCGCGGTGCGCGCCACCTTCGAGAGGGCGGCGGCGGCGGAGTCCGGGGGCCGCGACCCGGTGGCGGCGTTCCGGTCCAAGGACTGGGGCGCCAGCGAGGTGTTCCGCTCCTTCCTCTTCGAGCAGGGCGGCCTCGACAAGGTATCGACCCCTCGTCGTCTCTGTTCTTGGCTTTATTTCCCTGTCGTGTGCACGAGATTAGGTTATCCACTCGCGATCTGGTTGGCGTCTGCCAGTTTCCCATGTATCAGGCTATCATGTTACAGATTAATCGGCCTCATCCTAGATAAATAAATCATCAAAATTTGATAATCTTATGTACACAGTCCGTGCTCCGCACTGTAAAAAGGGGGTAATGATTGGTATCAAAATGAATAGAAGGAGTAGAAGAATGCTCGAGAGCAAATGCGTTTGCGGATTTATGGTGGGGGAAAGGGATTTATTTTTGTATGTATTAGTAGACCCTACTGCACTGTTAGCAGATTTCAAAATTGTCTTTCACCAGGTGAAATGGGATTTCTTACACTGTGTGTTGCCCTTTCCAGGTTCCATTGTTGGATGCATCGAATCTCGGATTGATCAAACCCAACACCCTCGTCCGGTTCCGGGGGATGGTTCAGGACATGCTCGGGAACGAGTTCTATGCCGGGGCTTTCAAGGTACCCACATGACTCTGCTGACATTCTGCCGTCAAGCTTTGGCTACTGCTTCTTTTGCATGCCTGTATAAAACATTGTTTGTGAAGGATGGGTCTACCTGGAGGACGAACAAGTTCACAGATTTCTCACCGTTCGCGATGCCGCACCCGTGTGACTCGCATCTCTGGGAGCGCCATCTCTTCCATTGTGTGCCTGTATGTTACTACTTCCCTGCGCACTTGTTTTCATTTTATCAATTTTAGAGTTCATTGTGTGATTGGCTGGTGGAATCCATCTTGACTGTGTGATTGGCTTCTTTCAGGTGCCTGGGCAGAATTCGTGGACACTGGACTCTTCCCCTGGGCCTGACTTGCGCCAAATGGCAAACTGCTTGTCACCTGAACAAAGGGAGAAAAGGAAGAGGGATGGAGATGATGATGCCATGGATGTAAGCTCTTGTCATGTTGTTACAGTAATGCATTCTATTAACAATTTCTGTGTCCAGTAACTACCATTGGCACTAATGCATTGCTTGCTACAGGTTTTGGAAAATGGAAATGGCGAGAGTTCTTCATGCAGCAAGAAACCAGTAAGAACCGAACTTAGTTTTCTACAAGCAACTTCATGCTTGAGCTTTGTTATTTCCCCATATGATAATTTACCGTGTATCTGTTTCTGGTTTGAAGTTCATCTAGCATTTGATAGCCTAAATTACTTGTCCGGATATAGATTAGCATAATCATAAAATAGAATAAGGAACCATATCAATTGAATAGTAACATGTTTTAGTTAATTATGCTCCATTTCATGCTAATCTGAAGTCATATAGAATGAAGGGTTTGGTTATCTGACATAAAGTGCATTTGTTTTTCTCAGAAGGAAGATGACGTCCAGATCCCATCTAGTTCAGCAGAAATGCCAGCAAGTGAAAACGTGCCACAGATGAATGGGAATGATCATCATATTCCTGGAAGCTCCTTTTCATGTCTAGTGAAGGTGGGGCACCTGAACTTTTTTGTATGAAATGTACATTAGCTAATTTATTTGCCGTGCTTCCTGTTCTCGCAAGTCCTATTGCTTACAGACTTTCATGCACTGCAGATCTATGATATGCCTGAAAGTCAAGTGAAACTAAACGATGTTGCTGAGTTCATAGGGGTATACACATTTGACCCAGAACTTGCTGCTCCCAATGATAATTCGGATGATATAATGTTTGATCTCATAGAAGATGTAACAGCTCAGTTGCCTCCCAGCAAGGTATGCCTATTATAGGGTGCATAGTGCTTGATTTCATGCGTGACACAGAAACTTGAATTTCTATGCATATTTTAATATTTGCCCTGACCTCTAAAACTGTTTGCATAGGTGCCCCGTCTTCACTGTTTGGTGTGGCGAAAGTTATCATCTGTTGATTTTCTAGCAAAGTGTCCTGCTGTTGAGGTGAATTTATAACTTTGAACTCAGAAATGGACTTGCTGGTTTTACCATGTAATTCATTTCCTCGTGCTAATATACACATCTCTTGACCATTGCTTTATTGACATATTTTTGTTTTGATTATGCAGCCTTCACCAAGTCTCCTAAAAGGCATCCGGCAATCTTTGGTCTCACATCTCACTCTGGTATTAGGGAAAGATGACCTGGCAGCTAACTGTTTACTGCTGCATCTTCTATCCAGAGTATGTCTTATCGCACATTGCTTTCTTTTCATGCTTTTTGCCAGATATTTTGTATGTTGGTTTAATGATTTCATTGCCTTTTCAATATCTCTACAGCTACGAACTAGGGTGGATGTGGTCACTGTTGGCAGGCTCTCCTTGAATTTCACTGGATTTAACAGAGAAAGTGTTTCCATTTTTGGAAAACAGCTAAATGCTTTGATCCAGGGACTAATGCCGTATTCACAAGCTATTCCTCTGTCAATTGAGTATCTCAACACAGCCACACTTCAACCTAGAAAGGACAACAAGTCAGGAAGGTAAGTCCTGTTCAGTTTCCCTTTGTTTGTCCAATCAAATTCCATAAGTATGTTAATAACTCCTTGCCTTTATTGGGAGCTAACCTATAAACTGCTCTTCATAAAATTTGGTGTAGGTTGGTTACAGGAGTTCTGCAGCTACCTCAAGGCTCTCACTTGACATTTGATGAAACTCTCTTGCAATCTGGATCTTTGGCATCTAAAGGTGTTGAGAATACGGTGCTGCTTAAGAACTTGATGGAGTCACAGATGGTAATAATTCTCTCTGAATTTGTCTTTAAGACATCATACATATAAGAATGTATTGCATTATATTTCTTTAAGATTCTATGCTCATCCCATTAGAGTGGTGTGTAAGTCTTTTGTCAGCATACATGTCAGTATCAACCATTTTAGGTCAGTGACTACATGATCCAAAAGTGAATGAAAATTTGAATCAAAATTCACAAGCACTTAGGTGTAACCAACTGTGCACATCTAAAGTTAATTAGTGATGGCATGATACTTCAAGCATGAACCTCCAAATTATCATTGCTGGGTAATTTTTCATTTACAATTTTTGTCTGTTGTACTTACAGGTTGAGTATGATTTTGAGTACTACAAGCTGGAGATGGCGACCGATGTGCAGCTACTTACTCTTTCTGAGGGAAAATCAAACATCCTGCCTTCAGACTTGGTAGTGCCTTTTCGTCCATCCACTGTTTCTGCGGTGAATGCAACTTCTGAGGAGCTTGAGAGCTGGAGGTGGTACTTGGCCACAGTGAGGTCTCTCCCTCAGTCTTCTGAACCTGAGATTTACCAGGTAACTATCCCTCACTCCACTTATTTAGCAGATTCAGAATTTCAGATTATGTTTAAACATGTACTGAGTTTGCTCAATGTTTGCATCTTAACTGTAGACGATCCAAGATGAAATGGTCAGTGCCATGCGCAACGACAGGAGCTTGGGTTGCACTGAACTTAGCAGGTAATCTTGGGCGTCTAACATGTTGCGTTTGCGATAACATGGTAGTTTATGAACCTCCATCCGACTAACTTTTTTTGCGCTGATGTGCAGATGGCTGACAATGGCTCAGATAACAGCCTCAAGCTTTGGTGAGAAGAGCCTTTCCCTGGAGCACTGGCAGATGGTGAAGGAGCTTGAGAGGCTCAGAAAGGAGAGGATGCAATGAGAAGACAGTGTCATAAGCACATGGATGTGTGAAACTCTAGTTGTAGTAATGGCTTGCTGTGATGTGTATATTTCCTTCTACTAGGGTCTAAATCATCAAGACTTGGATCTGCACCATTGTTTGTGATCCTTCCTGTGAGTGTCATTTGACAACTCAATTATCAAGTTAAGCCTGTGTTTTTGTGAAATGTTCTCTGGTAGCTACATTCTGTCTGGCCTTGAATGGACAACTAAATCTAACATTCGGTAGTTACTCCCAACTCTGGAGAATTAAGGGCAGCTGGTGCTATTCTGCCCTTGAATGGATTATTAAATCTAACACTTTCAGTTTCTTCAGTTCACTTCTAACTCTGGAGAATTTAATGTGAATTGAAATGTGTATTTCTGGAACCAAGTATGTTAACAACCCAATCTCATCAATCTTTTCATATCAAAATCCAGGATTACCTTCCCAATAAAAATTGCTTCACTTGCTAATGCCAAAGCAAGACATGAACACTGAATAATAGTACCATCATGACTGGATATATAGCCAGTAGATACAATGTGATGTAACTTTTCACAATTGCGCAGTATGCTGCTCTGAGACGATTATGTGCTGAGCAAATGAATGATAGTACAGCTGCTGGCTTGTTGCATAAACTTCAGAGAGCAGAGCTCAAATTGTACAAACCCTCGCACAACCAAGTTTCATAGCTTGGCAGTGCTTGAGCAAAATACAGGAGGAACATTTACAGGCTTCTTTGCCCCTGTATGATTCCTACATATTTGTTCTTCACAAAGCGGCGGAGAGAGGAATGGTTGCTTGCATGCCTGTTTTACAGGCATGTGTCGCAAAGCAGATGTCCGTCGTCTCAAGGAACTCCTGGGTCTTCAGCAGAATCAGTGGGATGTAGTCAAGGACAAGCCTCTTGCACTGAGAGATAAAAAGAAAAGCAGATTCGTGAGCAGAACAAAACTAGATACCGTTTTTTTAACAAGAAACTAGATACCTTGCAAAGCGTCAAAAACGCCAAAAGGTTTATGCGTACCATTCAGTTGTTACAAAGTTAGCCAATTACACAAATAGTTAGCAACATCTAAAGTTCTAATGATCCTGAACTGGTATATACTGTATATTACTGGAGCTGGTGTATTGGAGAAAAGCACTGTAGTATTGAACAGCTAACTTTCAGAAGCATTAGAACAGGTCAGGGTTTCCCAGTTATTTCTGTTGTACAAAAGACCATGAGAACTAGGTGATCCTGTGATATGCTATCATTTAACTGCAGGCAGATTCGTCTGTGTTCCGGTAACTACGACTGTTTCCGAACTTAACTCACCTGCGGTTCATAGTTCTTCGCCTTGCTGCATGTTTTGAAAAGAAGCCCGACTATCTCCAGCTGCAAAAAATCGCGACATGCACAAGAAAGCATTAGCCATGTGCAAAGTACAAGCCAACCATTGCACAGAAGATCGGTAAATGCGATTGAGAACATGACAGTTACCTTGGTGTTGGGATCCTTAAGCATCATAAGAACTTCAACAAGAACATGATGGCATAGACCACAGGCATCCCCTCGTGTGGACGACAGAGTCGCCGCCCCCTTTGGGCACAGGTGCGCCGACTCACAGAGCTCTTCAGGTTTAACCACAGAAACCTCCAAGAAGAAAGCGGGAATGTAGTAGTCGACCAGCGTGATGCACTGCGAGAAGATGAAAGCCAATCAGTTTACTGAGATTACAATTATGCTATGCATGGCAGGCATTGCCATTTAGCCATACCTGCTGTCTTAGAGGACCCAGGCTTGCACACGTGTGGTGGAGGACACTGAGAATCTCGGTTTGGGTTTCGTTTTGTCGCAGGTAGACCAGAGCTTCGGTTGAGTATTGCTCACATAGTACACATAGCTTTCCGTTTGCCGAAGTTAATCCTGACCCTCTGCTTGCAGGAGGGAAGTTTTCCTGGGCTGAAATGGATACAGCAAAGCAGTTTGATCATAACTCATAAGCTCAGCACTCAACGCTGTGGAACTTGAGTTTTTACAAGGAGAGGGGTGTTTAGCTGAAGATGTGGTCAGCATAATTTGTCACAGCAGGATCACAGTTATCTTTATGAGTAGCTATAAGTGAGAGTTCAGACTTACAGGATTAGTAAATGGAAGCAGAATTTACATGCCCTAATTGTGACTACTTCCAGCTAAATATATCTAACAGGCAGCAAGTAAAGCAATTCTTAGTTTCTTACAATACAGGCATCAGCAACATGATTCATACTATTATGTGTCTTTGCAACTTAGATCAAAGCAGAAAAGTAGATGCAGGATTATTTATGGACAGTCTTCTGGTAAGTAGATGTAGGATTATTTAAGGACAGTCTTCTGGTCAAAAATAAAAGGACAGTCTTCTGGTAAGTAGATGCAGGATCATTTATGGACAGTCTTCTGGTCAAAAATAAAAAGACAGTCTTCTGGTAAGTAGATGCAGGATTATTTATGGAAAGTCTTCTGGTAAGTAGATAAAGGATTATTTAAGGACAGTCTTCTGGTCAGTAGATGCAGGATTATTTAGGGACAGTCTTCTGGTCAAAAATAAAAAGACAGTCGTCTGGTCAAAAATTAAGTTGCAGTCTTATCATAAGGCGAACACTCAAAAACAGGTGGAACTTCAATTTTTGCAAGTAGAGGGTTGTTTAGCTGAAGATGTGGTGAGCATAATTTATCACATCTGGATCTGAGTTTTCTTTATGAGAAGAGAAACCATAAGTGATAATTCGGACTTTCAGAATCAGTGAATGGAAGCAGAATAACATGCCATAATTGTGACTACTGCTAAACTAAAGATATCTGATAAGCAGCAAGTACGCAATTCATAGTTTGTACAACACAGGCATCAACAACACAATTCATACTTGTATGTGTCTGTGCAACCCAGATGAAGTAGAAAAATAGACGCAGAATTATTTCTGGAATCAGCACAAAACCAAATTGAAAGATAGTACTCCATTAGTATTTTGGTCAAAAATTAAGTGGCAGTTCTTCATACATACAGTATATTATACAGTAGCAAGCATCACATGTTTCAGATGGTTTTCTAGCAAGTATTTTCCAGAAAAGTGGATTGGTGGCACACAACTGCTGCATTCGGTCGACCTACCTAACATTATCAGCATGGATACCATTGAGACATGAACAGAAACTCCTGCATATCAAACAAGAACAACCAATACGAGCATTCAATCTTGCAATGAATCCACAGCTTACTCAGTATGCAGGCATATCGATCTGCGCTCCTCATATATGCATCTCTGCTCTCTGCGAGCGCGGCCGAAAAGGCCAGCACGAGTAGCACAAACGCAAGCCTCCTCGACGTCCTCGTCGAGCTCGCCACCGCCATGCCTGCTCACAAGTTTGCCGGACAGTTAATTTGGGGACCCAGAGCACAAAACAGGGAGATGTCCCAACAGCTATGAAGGTGTGCATCAGAATTCAGAAGGCTAGAATGCACGGAAAATCCCTCTTGCTAACCCCAATTCCTAGAAAGTCAATGAGCACCAGATTCAGCAAGACTCGTTCTTGTGGCACCGCCAGAACAATCTTCCGTCCCCACGCCAGAACAAGGCCCGACGAGATCCAAAAACGTGCAGCGGATGCTGCTCGAATCGAGCGTCGCTCGGTAGATGCAGGATGAACATGGGGGGTCCAACCCAACCGGGCAGGGCGGAGCAAATCAGCTAGTAGTAGATATTCTCTCAGGGGAATCGCGGAGCAGCTCACCTGGTTGACTCGCTCTGCGGCCGCTCCCCTCTGCGGCTGATTTGCTCTTGGAACGGGGGAGGGCAGCTCGGGGAGTAAAAGCTCCAAGAGGTTAGCTCAGGCCCTGACTCCCGAGGATGGATGGATGGAAGCGGCGAAGAAGAAGACAACCTTTTCTTATACAAGGTAAGCGGTAAAAAGACTGAACTGAACTGAACTGAACTGAACTGTGTGACCCGTGTGAAGTGCACCCACGGTTCATTAATCATCTGTCATAGCTTTTTTTGGAACTTTGCATATAAAGTGAGATTACATAAATTTTGAAATACATTCATATTATGTATTTAATATTTTTATGACATAACTATTAGTAAAAGAAAATCTTATCCCGAAGAATGGATATTAATGCAAATATAGCAGTTGCAGCCTAATTAAAATAATATTTCGTTAAAATTTAATGGTGTTATACGCTTTAATGTCGAAAAAGACATTTAGCAGGGTAAATTCGCTCGATTTCTTTGTACTTCACATACACGTCAAACTGTTTCATCAATGGATCTTAAAGTTTGGTTGATATTAATTTAACTTTATCTTAACCAGTTTTTTTTCTGTTTTTTAATTAGACTTCTACTGTTTGTCTTTCTTTAAAACAACTATTTTGTCAGGAGCATCTTTTCTATGTATTTTTAAAATAATAATAAAGTTAAAATTTCTAGTAAATTAAGTTATGTATGCTAATGATTGGTTTTGGTTCATAAATATGACATATACATATGTCTTTCAAAAGATAAGATATTTACGACATCTTAGATTAATTATTAGGAAAATGTATAGTACGCATTCGCTTTTAATTGTCACACCTAACAAATCCTGTCTAGTACACCACATCTTGAATGGAGATGTATGAGTCAACCATTCCTTTGTCCGAGCACTTAAATGTGTATGAGATTAAAGTCCAAATCATAAGCCAGCCAATTATTTGTATGTGATATTAATTTGATATGTAATTTTTGTACGTGATATTGAGAAAATCTTTAAGTTAATCAAAAGAACCATGCAGATTATTTTCTAGATCTTACGCCGTTTTGGGCCAATTTGAAATTTGGACACTACAATCTCGTTCCCACTGTGATTAGCTGAAATTAAATACTTTTATTAAACACCATCTTCAGATATGTTCTCGTCTTTTTTTAATATCAGTACAGACACAAGCGCTCATATACATATGCATACACTCACCCCTATGAAAGCGTACACGCATACCCTATTCCTATGAGCACATCTGAAATAAATCCAGAAATAAATGCGAGCACCTGGATTTGAACCCTAATGGGCTGGGGATACCACAGTCCCTCTAATCATCCAACCACATGTTGGCTCGTCTCTACTCATAAAGGGGGACTTAGAGCATCTCTAGCGGACCCTTGATACGTCTCCAACATATCTATAATTTTTGATTGTTCCATGTTAGAGCAACTCTAGCAGATCCGCCAAAACCACGACCCGCATAAGTGTTTTACGGGCTGAGGAAAACGGATTATAAGGGTCGATTTTAGTTGCGGCCGAACAGAACCCGTAAAAAAGAATATTATCTAAATATATCATCTTCTTCCTCACGCCCTTCCCATCTCGACCTTCGTCCTCTCGGCCTGTGTGCGTCCTGCCTCCGCGACCATCTCCTCATGCTCGCCAGGGAGCGTGACCGGGCCGGGGCCAACAACAGTGCCGACTGCAGCAGCAGACAGCCGCAACACGCGGGCGGAGGCCAAGGCCGCCGGGGTAGCGCGGGCGGCGGCCGAACTCCTCCATTCGCTAGCTACACGCGCATCCATTGAGTTGCTAGCTAGCTGATCCATTCGAATTGATTCGGCTGGCTAGCTAGCTAGCGAGCTCCTCGTCGAGAGAACTGCAGGCCGGCGTGGCAGACGGCCGGCGGGCTCGGCGGACTACCGACAGGCGCGGCGGACGGGGCGGACGGCGGGCGGGCGCGGGAGTAAGGGCCGGCGTTGCGGCCGGGCGTGCACCGGCGGCCGGGACGGGCGGACGGGAGCAAGCCATGAAGTTTCTGCTGGTAGTTGGACTCCCGCCAACGGTCTTTCACGTATACAGGTCATCCTCGGGTCATCTCCGAAATCCTTATTTTCACGGGTTTGGCCGGGATGTTTGCGGTGCCCCTTAAATTTTTTTACGGGTTGGGTGGTTTACAGGTTCTATTCTGGTCGTTTTTTTGCCTAAAATTGTAAACTGGCAGTTATTTTGCAGTTTCGTGCATTTTGCGGGGCCTGCTAGAGTTGCTTTTATTATATTATCCATCTAGAATGTTTTATATGCATCTATGTGGTATTTTATATGATTTTTGGGACTAACCTATTAACCTAGAGCCCAGTGACAGTTTCTGTTTTTTCCTTGTTTTTGAGTTTTACAGAAAAGGAATACCAAAGGGAGTCCAATTGACGTGCCCATTTTTGATGATTTTTATGGACCAAAAGAAGCCCCCGAAGTAAAAGAGTTGGGTCAGAAGAGTCCCGGGCCGTCCACGAGGGTGGGGCGCGCCCTACCCCCCCGGGCGCCCCCTATCTCATGGATGACTCGGGGACCCCCTGACTTGTTCCCGACGTAAAAAATTCCTATAAATACAGAAACCTCCAGAAAATAACCTAGATCGGGAGTTACGCCGCCGCAAGCCTCCGTAGCCACCGAAAACCAATCTAAACTCGTTCCGGCACCCTGCCGGAGGGGGGGAATCTCTCTCCGATGGCCATCTTCATCATCCCGGCGCTCTCCATGACGAGGAGGGAGTAGTTCACCCTCGGGGCTGAGGGTATGTACCAGTAGCTATGTGTTTGATCTCTCTCTCTCTCTCTCTCGTGTTCTTGATTCGGCACAATCTTGATGTATCGCGGGCTTTGCTATTATAGTTGGATCTTATGATGCTTCTCCCCCTCTACTCTCTTGTAATGAATTGAGTTTTCCCTTTGAAATTATCTTATCGGATTGAGTCTTTAAGGATTTGAGAACACTTGATGTATGTCTTGCATGTGCTTATCTGTGGTGACAATGGGATATTCACGTGATCCACTTGATATATGTTTTGGTGATCAACTTGCGAGTTCCGTGACCTCGTGAACTTATGCATAGGGGTTGGCACACGTTTTTGTCTTGACTCTTCGGTAGAAACTTTGGGGCACTATTTGAAGTTCTTTGTGTTGGTTGAATAGATGAATCTGAAATTGTGTGATGCATATCGTATAATCATACCCACGGATACTTGAGGTGACATTGGAGTATCTAGGTGACATTAGGGTTTTGGTTGATTTGTGTCTTAATGTGTTATTCTAGTATGAACTCTAGGATAGATTGAATGGAAAGAATAGCTTCATGTTATTTTATTACGGACTCTTGAATAGATCGATCAGAAATGATAACTTTGAGGTGGTTTCGTACTCTACAATAATCTCTTCATTTGTTCTCCGCTATTAGTGACTTTGGAGTGACATTTTTTTGCATGTTGAGGGATATTTATATGATCCAATTATGTTATTATTGTTGAGAGAACTTGCACTAGTGAAAGTATGAACCCTAGACCTTATTTCAATGCATTGCAATACCGTTTTCGCTCACTCTTATCATTAGTTACCTTACTGTTTTTATATTTTCAGATTACAAAAACCTATATCTACCATCCATATTGCACTTGTATCACCATCTCTTCGCCGAACTAGTGCACCTATACAATTTACCATTGTATTGGGTGTGTTGGGGACACAAGGGACTCTTTGCTATTTGGTTGCAGGGTTGTTTGAGAGAGACCATATTCATCCTACGCCTCCCACAGATTGATAAACCTTAGGTCATCCACTTGAGGGAAATTTGCTACTGTCCTACAAACCTATGCACTTGGAGACCCAACAACGTCTACAAGAAGAAGGTTGTGTAGTAGACAAACCCTTTAAAATCACAAATTGTAAAACTAGGATATGGGTCGAAAAAATATGCATTTTAAGGGTTCATTTTAGCTACGGCAGAACAGATACTGTAAAACAAACTGTAAAACTGGGATAAAGAGCTCCTTTCTCCAGTCCAGCCGTTGTCGCCCCTTCCCCCAGCCGGTCGCGCCGACCGCGCCAAACCCCGTCGGCCACGCCCCGTCGCCCGCCGGCCGTGCCCCATCGCCCGTTGACCGCGCCCTGTCACCCGTCGCCCGTCGGTCGTGCCCCGTCCCTGTCGGTTGCGCCCCATCACCACGCCGGCCGCGCCCAGCCTCGTCGGCCATGCCCCGTCGCCTCCGCCGTCCGCGCCTTACTCTATTGCCAGCCGCGCCGGTCGAGCCGTGCCCCTTTGCCTGCCACGCCGGGAGGATTCCGGCGGCCAGGCTGAGGTCATGGGAGGCCGTGGCGATGTCGAGCTCGTCCAATTCGAACCAGCGGCGATTGATTGCGGCGTCTAATGGCCTTTTCCGGTGTACGGTGATAAATTCCGTCGAGTTTAGGGCGAATTTCGGCAAACTCCGCGACGGCGTGTTTGCTCCGACGAGGTTTGACCGGTATACGGGGGCTCCTAGATTCGGCCTTCCAACCTCCAAATATAAGGGTTCCGGGTGTGCACTTTCGGTGGCCCTTAAAAAATTTATGGGTTGGACCA